TCCAGGTTGAGCTGTTGTTCAGCACCTTAGCTGTGGAGGGCAGTGTCACTGGCCCTCATATGTGGGATCCGAACCGGGGCCCTCTGGCGTCCCAAGCGAGTTCTTAACCATCGCGCCACTCGGCTGGCCCTGGATTGAATTTTTAATCTTCAGAATATGTCATGTAACTGATTGTGTTTTTCACTTTAGTTGGCTCCTAGGAAGCATATGGCCAGAACTGTGGTCCCCATAGGCTTGTGTACAGTGCCTCATCACAGGTACTTTAGTATACTAGTATTTACCCTGGGGTTATCGTATATTTTTTTCTTCCATGGTTGACCCTTTTCTGAATTTTCTTCCTTGCATTTGATTCTATTGTTTGCATTTATGTTTTTAAGATTCAGAGATGGAAAAAAATATGTATGTGTATAGAGACAGAAAGAATCACTGTATCCAGGTAATATATTCCTTCCTGGAAATAGTCAAGGGTAGTAGCTTGGAGGATTTGTTAGGCAGATATCCTTGAGAAATGGGGTGCTAAAGTCCCAAGAGAGGATACTGTAAAAACTTTGTATTGGGCCTATTCTGCTTTCCACAGACTGGTGGAAATATAGCAGGGAAAAGGAAGTTAGAAAAAATGGTGAAGGGATTAAGGGAAAGTCTAGGGACCACAGTTAAAATAATTGCCACTGGGTGACCTTGGACAAATAATTAGACATCTTTAAGCCTCAATTTCCTCACTCGTGAAATGGATTAATAATAGCTTCCTCCTTCACTTACTATGTTTATTCATTCGATGAATGTCAGGTCTTTATGTGTGCCAGGCACCTTGCTAGATACCAGGATTTCGAAGTGAACAAAAATCAATATAATTATGTTGTTATAAGTGTTCCAAAGGAAGGAAACAGGAACTAACTGGGGGCAGGACAAGAGGTGGGGGTTTGCTGCTTGGCATAGGTTAGTGAGGAAGGCTTCTTTGTGGGAGCGATTTCTGGGCTCACCACAGACGCAGGAGAGTGAAGTGGCTGCATTAAGAGCAGACATACCAGGCGGAGGGGACAACAAAGACCAAGCCCTGGAGGTGGAAGACTGCTTGGAGATTTCAAAGAAATGGAAGGTGGCCAGCATGTTGGAGCAGAGTGAGCAACGGCTGGGGGATAGATTAGTGCCAGGCCAGG